GACAGCCTTCGAGGCTCAACCCTGCTCCTCGTGTGCCTCCTCCTCTCCCAGTCTGAGTCCCCCAGTTTATCAGGTCCCAATCTCTTTCCCACCACGACCTGGCCAGACTTGGCAGGAGGCTCTGCCCAGCTGCGCGGTGACCTTGCTGCTGCCGGCCGGCCTCACCCTGCTCGGCACACGGGGCTGCAGGAGGCCCTCCAGAAACAGAAAATGACACCAAATTTACGGAAAAATTTCTGCACCACAAAAGGCACACTGCTGCATGGTTTTAGATCTCCCCAGCTCAAAGCATCCCCGCCTTCCCCGGTGCCGCACGCGTGCTCGCCCAAGGCACGCGCAGCGGGGCTCAGCTACGCGCACACTCGCAGTCCAGCAGTGCAAATCGCCACACAAACCATCCCAGTGATTTGCACCCCACCAGTCCGTGCCCAGCAGCACCACGATCCCTGCGGCACCTTCCGACACGCTACGAGATGAGCAGTACGGCTTTAATCCTTCTAACGCAAACCCCCTCACCTCCACAGAACAGCACGTATTTTTATTTAAAATGCCCGGCAGCAGTCATTAAGCACACTGGAGAAGCCACGAACAGAGGATATAAAACCATTATGGTCATCTTCTATGTCACACAAATCCTTTAAGATACAGCAAGACAACACACTCATTTTAACAAATGAGGTGGTTTATTTTCTATGAAAGCTCTTTCCAAAAAACATTCATTTCACAGTAAAAAAACGTGACTGGCGTAAAGCTAAGCATCATGGTTAGCTCTCTGTTATTGCCTTTAGTTTTTTTTTAACTTAATGGAACTACAGTAACAGTTTTCCAAATGTGGGGGAATTTCTGTAGTTTTCCAAGATATTTTATTGCTAATTGTGATTCGGAAAGCTTCTCTGCTAATTCCACTACGAGCCACGGACATGAATTCTCTCAATCTTTTGATTCCAAGGCGTAATTGTAGCAGATACTGGCTTACCACCTTCCTTTTCCATGTCCACATCCCCTTACAGAACACCTCGGCAAACTGCCCCCGTGGAGTTTACAGTTCTCCGTAACCACGGGCCAAGGCTGGTGCCCAGGCTGCTCTGCCGTGCCCCGCAGCCCTCCGCCTCGCCCGCAGCCACAGCTCCGTCCTCAGCCCCTGTCACCCGGGCAGAGCTGCCCTCCCTGCCGAACTGCTCCGATGAGCTGCCTTCCAAATTGGCAAAGACAACCAGGCACTGCTGAGGGCAACGCTTCGCAGGAGCTCCTGCACCCTGAGCTCAAACCCAGTAAAACCCTCAAGAGGGGCTCGGAGTTGGGCTGTGCAGGTCCCTGGAGCAGTGGGTGCCATTTACCCCAGAGCTGTCCCAGGCGTTAGCCAAGCTCACGCATGTTATCTTTAAGACCGCGGGTATTTTTCAACGACTGGAGGTTAAAGGAATCCCACCGCTCCCGATGCAGTCCCTGTTGCTCCAGCAGTTCTCTGCTGGTCAGTGGTTTGATGCTCTCCAGACCGCCCCGCCAGACCCTGCAGGCACAGCATCCCACAGCCAGATTTACGGGACGCAAACTGACCTTGTTTATTTTTGCAAACTCTTACAACTGTTCCCAGCTTAAACAGGAGAAAAACCCCACACCTGGGAGGCGCTTGGCAATCCTCATATCTGCTGTGATACTTCACTCGGGTATCAGCAAATACCAACATGTCCCACTGCAAAGCCCAGTCTTCACGGACCAGCGCTGTTCCCTGCTGCTTCCAGCCTGGATTTTGAACACCCTGACCTCTCAGACCACACTATGAATCATAGAATGGTCAAGGTTGGAAGGGACCTTAAAGATCATCTAGTTCCAACCCCCCTGCCATGGGCAGAGAAATCCTCCACTACACCAGGTTGCCCAAAGCCTCATCTAACCTGGCTTTGAACACTTCCAGGGATGGGGCAGCCACAAGATGTTTCTCGTAAATGGGATTTTTTGAAGCCTTGCTAGTTGCTCAACCTGGCCAAGATCTGCAACGATAATGGTTTTGCTGGTGGCCCATCAAAAAGGCTTCGGGGGGCTGGATGGCTGCAG